ACCCCCCTTCCTCGGATCACGACACCAAAGACTTCACTCCACCACCTCCCTTCAATAAATCCTGTTTCCTTTAACCCTTCACCCCGTCTCCCTTTTCGTTTGGGTCCACCCGCACTGTCACCTGAGCACGAGTCGTCACAGAATCCTCTGGCCACAAAAAAAAAAAATGGACCCAACGAACTCCGGCACCGTTGAGGAGGCTCTTATCGCCCAAGAAGAACTGGTTGGTAATCACGACCAGCTGTTAAACACGATAAGTGTCTACCTCCAGACCCTCTCCTCCCAGGTCCAAGGATGTACCTCTCGGTTGGACAATATGGCATCTGCCAGTGCCGAACCATCTCCGGACCTCCCCGTGAGTACTCCTCCCGTTCCTGCTCCCTCTTCTCCACCCCCCGGTGTCACTTTACCAGCAAACCTACACATAGACTCTCGAGTTTTTTCTTTATGTGTTTTCATTGATTCCGGGGCATCTGACAACTTTATTGACTGTGCTTTTACAAGACAGATAAATGCCCCGCTAGAGCAACTAGAGACCCCGCGCATAATTTGTGCTTTTAATGGCAGATTATTTGCCAGGGCCACTCACCGCACTACTCCCCTGCCACTGATCACCTCCGGGAACCATCGAGAGAGCATCCAGCTCTACGTCGTCTCCTCGCCCTTGGCCCCTGTTGTGTTGGGCTCTCCCTGGTTACAGCAACATAATCCACACCTGGATTGGAGAACTGCTACAGTCTCCAGTTGGAGCGTTCTGTGCCAGGCAGAGTGTTTGCAGTCCGCTGCCCCAGAAAAGAGACGTGGCTCCCGGCGACATCGGACCTCGCCGCTCCCGAGCGTCGCGGAGGTTCCGCCGCTCCCCAGCGTCGTCTGCCACACGCACTGTCTTCGATCCATTGTCCGACAGAAGAGACGTAGATCCCGGCGGCATCAGATTTCGCCGCTCCCCAGCGCGCTCCCCGCTCCCGCTGCTCCTGAGGTCCCGCCGCCGAGCGTTCCTGTTCCCGAGCGGGTCGACGCCGCCACCGAGCCGCTTCCAGTTCCTGTTCCGGAGCGGGTCGACGCCGCCACCGAGCCG